TGGTACAAGGGGTGTTTTTTTTTTTTTTTTTTTTTTTTTTGGTACTGGGGATCAAACTTAGATCCTTGGGCTTACAAAGCAGCAGCTGGAACCACTGAGCTAAATCCCCAGCCCCAAGGCAGGATTTTTACCTAGCCTTCTCTCTTCCAGCAACTACATCTGCTTTTCAAAATTCACCCCATGCATCTCTCCTTTCTACTCCTAGATATAGGGCAGGGGGTGTGCCACCAGCCCACCAATCAGAGTACTATTTCCTCCCAGAACTCAGGGATTGGTCTAGAGACAACCAATCACAACAAAGAAGATGCAATTAACGCACTCTGGAATAAAGGTTGAGAGAAAAGTGTCTCAGCCTCCAGCCCTGATTTCTAGGAGGGCAGGATGAAGCCTGTGGCCTGTTCTTGAGCATCCTTCTCTCAACAGGGAATGGAGCCCACCCACCCAGGGAGAGCAGAGCTGAGAAAGTGAGAGTATATGAGCAAAGAAGTATCTTTTTTCTGATTAGGCCACTGGGTATTGGTCACTTAAAACAGAAAAACCCAAATAAATGTAGGCAACACAAACCTAATGATTATGATGCCATAACAATAAAGCTACCCTGTATTAAGCACCAACAAGGCTACAAGAATTGGGTACGAAGAGGGTGGGATGGATCTCAGGCTAGGAGGGCACTTACAAACTTAAGCAGGAAGGTGTTCTCCCGGAGGGCACCAATACAACCAGCAAAGCCCAGCACTGACATGACGCCTCCAACCACCACAAAGAGCCACACAGGGTCGAGGCCTCCAAGATCTGTCAGTGCTGAGATGTTGGAGAGAACACCCTGCACAGGAGAGCAAGAGGCAGGTGTGAGGGGCAGCCTTTCCCAGCACATGGCCCCACAGGCAGCCCCATCCCCCGCCCCACTGCCTACCTTCTCACTCCAGGCCCAGAGGCCAATGGCTAGGAACAGGCCTCCCAGCACCTGCAAGAACAGTGGCAAACAGCACAGGGGTAGATATCAGCACCAGGTCCTTTCTGCATCCTTCCCCAGAACTCAGGGCCTTCCGTCCAGAGAGAGAGGAGGAGGGGCACAGGCTGGGAGTGGGATCCAGGGTCCTTCCCACCTTCCCAAGGACACATCTCAGGACTTCTTTCCCACAGGGAAGCCTGGAGGACTGAAGCCACCTCCTGCAATTGGATGGACCTCAGGGTCCAGTCCTGGAACTCAAAACTGGAGCGGAAAGTACCTGAGACACTCCTGCTCACAGGCGGCAGCAGCAAACTCTGCTCCCACTCCAGGCCACTCTGTAGCTCCAAGCTCCTAGAGTTCCCCAAATGCCCATTCGTAAGCCCTCCTGCCTGCAACTCTGTCACCCCACCCTCAACACCTGCCGTGTCGCACTACCATCATGTGTGTGTGCACACGTATGATGCTGGGGACTGGGTTGGACCCAGGGCCTTGTGCAGCTCAGCACCTGCATCATACCCCCAACCTGTACCCCTCCTCTTTAACTGCAAGAATAGCAGGAAACAGCAGTAACCCCTGAGTAACAGACAGTCTCAATGCAGAGAAGTTCCTGAGGAGCTCCACCGGACCCTAGAACACATTCAGCTCTGGACCGGAGCAGTCCCTGCCTATCTCCTGCACTATCCTCATCTTTCCCACTGTCCTGCTTCATCTCCTTGCTGGAAAGAGTCCTGAATGTCAAGGGCACCTACACTCTTAGGCCTAATCCTGGGTAGTTTCCCGGCCATCCATTCTCAAAGAAAGAGAATTCCACCCAAGAATGAGGAGATGGTCCCTGCCAACTCCACCCCCACCATCCTCTTTCCTGGCCCTGGGTTCCACCACTGCTGTGCTCTCTCTGGAAGTATTTTCCCTTTTCTCCCTGGCCTGATGGTGTGCGCTGCTTCTATCTTGATCCCACTTGCTCTGCCCACAGCCTTCAGAGAGGTGACTGACCGACACTTTCTCCTTCCCTAACTTCTTCACTCAACCCCTTTCCTCCAGCTGCTCCTTCTCAGCCTCCTTCCCAGGACAGTGCCTTTCCCTGCCCCGTATTTGTGGCGTTCCCCCACACCTCAGGTTCCAACCTTCTTCCCTTCCCCTTCACACTCATCTTCCAGGCTACCATGACACCGCCATCTCCTGGATCTCCACCCAAACTCCTCCCTGGCTCTAGACACCTATATCCGCCCTCCTGCTACAGATATCCCAGGGTCCCAGGCAGAGTTCCAAACCCTGAGAATACAATGACCACTAGGAAATGAATGCTGTCAGCCCCCGGGGCAAATACACCATGCCTGGCAAATAAACTGCAGGCAAATGCACAAAGAAAAGTCAGATACCAATAGATCCTTTAAAGAAAATCAGTCGGGATGCAAACAGGAGGGACTAGGAGGTTGGGGCTCCTTTAGAAGGATTTGGTAGGGAGATGGGGCACTTTAGCTGAGGTCTGGATGATGGAGAGCAGCAGAAGGGCAAAGGCAGAGACCCTAAGGTAAGACCGTGTCTTGTGGTACAGGGACCAAACTGAAAGGGAGTGGGAGGTCACGGGGAGATGAGTGGGATGGAGCGCAGGAGCAGTGAGAAACCACAAGGAAGTTCCCAGCAGGGAAACACCAGGCCTGCCTGGCACTGAAACAAAAACATCTCTAGGCCTGTTTTACAAGGAACCTGCCTTGGGCCCTTGGCTCCCAAGTGGCCCCATCCTGTCAGCTTGGCCTCATGACTTTCCTAGAGCTTTCCTTCCTTGCCTAGCTCCACCATCCCAGCTACATTCCACCCTCACCCCGACCCCCCACATCCAGGGCCCATGTGTCACCCACGTACCCCCCTAGCAATCAGACACAAAAGCCTGTGCCTCCAACATAAAAGCCAGAGCACACCATCACTCCCACATGAAGCCCTAACAGAAAGCACCAGTGCCCGGCCCCTCGCTGCCCTGCCCAGAGTCCCCTCTCACACCAACCACTATTCAGCTGTCAGCTTGGCTGTGACCCTATGTAAGTAACTTAAGCTCTCGGTACCTGGTCCTTCAGTTTCCCCATTCATAAAAGGTGAATCATAATAAGGTGGCTGTGAGCTCATTAGACCCTATTTGCTTCTGTAACAACCCTAAGGAGCAAACTTCAGTATCCTCTGCTCCTGGTGGGAAGCTGAACCCCAGAAGAGGAACAGGGACCTGACCAAGGCCTCACAGCCAGTGCCAGGCCTGACTTCCTCTCTAGTGCTCCCTGAACAGCTGCTCACACCCTCCAGAGCCGAGCACTGCTGAAGCCCAGGGACTCCCCATGCAGGGGTGACTCCAGTGGAGAGCAGGGCCTGAATCCTGCTGAACACAAAAGAAAGGGCCTACAGCAGTTTGACCCAATGCTCAGAAGCAGAAACTGCAGAGACAGCAACTTTGGAGATGGCATGGGGGAGGGAGGGAAAGATGACTTGGCAGGGCATGAGGCACACATCGATGCCATCCTGCAAGGGACAGTAGCAGCTCCCTTCCAGGATCCGCAGTGGTCACCCAGGGCCTGGTTGGGTCAGCTATGGAATATTGCTTTCCGTTCCCCAGGGACAACTCCAGCTTTGTTCCTGGGAGCTGACTCGGCTGTGCCTCCCCCCCCACAAACCTCCTACAACCTGCCTGGGGTCGGAGAGGGCCAGACCCACGCAACTTTGCAGAAGCCTAGGGTGAGGCACCAAACCTAGGTTCTGGAGGGGTTAGGAGGCGGGATGGGCCAGACTCCTCCTCGCTGGATAAACCAAGGGTGCAGTTCGTGCCCCCACAAAGAGGCTGGGCGAGAGGGGACGAGCTGCACCCAGCGTACCCCACGGGTCTCAGAACAAACACCTCTTCCTTTTCCGATCGGCCTCCCGGGTTACCCTCGAGACTCCGGAGACTCCCCCACCCCCACCGTAGCTGTGCCCCGCCCCCCAGCCATCCGGGCCTCGAGGTAACTCCCTCAGGTGGTCCCGGGACTGGACAAGGCGTGGGGGTGGAAGGAGTTGAGGATCTGTCCCGAGCCCCAAGCCTTCAGTGCTGAGAGTGGTCTCCTCCAGAAGGGGACTCGGCCTCCTCCCACTTCCCTTAGCACAGGGCCCGAAGCAGACCCTGCGCTCACCCAGAAGACAATGTTGAAGCCAAACAGGAAGTATTTCCCGCAGCAGCCGACCTCTGGTTCCTGGAAATGCTGGTGCTTGCCAGGCATGGTGAGGGGACACCCGCCGGCCCGGACACCGGGGCCGGGGACCTGGGACCGGGCCCAGACCTCCG